TAGTTATTTATCTTATCTCTCCCACCTGACTTGAAACACGTGTTGAGCACGTAAGAAGATATAATATATTTGAAACCAAGTAAAATGGTGACAATATTACACAATTATTCTTTGATTGCTCTGAAAAAATAAGAAAAAATTTGGATTATATTTGTTTATTTAATGACTTAGAAATATATAATAAGCTAGTTAACATTGCTTAATGATATACAAAAAAATGGTGTAATATTATTGATATACTTGATAAAAATTTGCAAGATTGAGAGTTTATTGTTATCAATTTAACTAAAGCAAAAGAAGATCTACTATACATTTACAAAGGTTGGAACACACTCTTGAAATTAGATGGATTTGATAATCAAATAATTATTTTTTCAGTTATTTATTAAGAAGCTAATCATATCTAGTTATGTATTTAATCATGATTTTATATTTAAAAAATAGAATCAATATTAATAGTATCAATTTATTATAATGAAAAAAATATTTTTAAGTAATGCTTATATAATTGCTAGAAAACGTGATGAACAATGCCTTTTTATTCAGTATATTAACACTAAAAGTCTCTTAGAATGGAAATGCAAAGAACATATTTGGTCAGCACCTCTTAATCATATAAAAGATATAGTAAATGGTGCCCATATTGTGCAGGCAATGTTCATCTTACCTTGAAAGAGACTTGTACAATTGCTAAAAAGAATGGTGGATGATGTCTTTCCAACTAATATACCAATAATAGAACTCCATTATTATGGCAATGCAATAAATTACATATATGGTATGCTTCTTTGTCATGTATTAAAAATCACAATACTTGGTGTCCACAATGTGCAAAACGTGGTTTTAAATTAAATTTTGGTGAGTTGCAAAAAACTGCTTGTTTGCGTGGTGGCGAGTGCCTTTCTAAAGAATACACCAAATCCAAAGATCAATATTATTGGAAATGTAACCAAGTTCATATTTGGTATACATCATTTAAGACTATTCGAAATGACAATACCTGGTACCCATTTGTAAATATAAGCGTGAAAATTTGTGTCGTGAAATAGTGTCAAAATATCTTGGACCTCCATCAGCAAATCGTAGACCAGAATTTTTGAAAACTCCCGAAAATCCGAATGGGTTGGAACTTGACATTCCCTACTATAATCACGGTTTTGCTATAGAAGTACAGGGGCAACAGCATGAAAATTCTTTCATAGCGGAGATCACAATAATTTTATCAAACAGCAAGCACGGGATCAACTCAAGAATGAATTGTGCGAAGAAAACTGGATTGTTTTAAGATATGTCTGGTACTACGAAGACCCATATGTAGTTATTCCAGAGCATCTTCGAGAATTGGGCCTCATTGGATAGAATTAAAACTTCAAATGCTTTTGTGGTTTACTAGTCACTGTATTTAATAAAAAATTCACAAAAGTAAATGTGACCTTCAGGGCAGTTTATTAACCGATACACATAGTATCCATATCACACCTGTATACAGCATACACATTAAAAAGAATTGTTATTACTGAAACGAAATACATTATCAAATCTATTCACCCATCACAAGTTCTATCATGCATAATAAATCAGGGATTTCTAGCGCGTTTTAATATTTAGTAATTAATTTGAAGGGTCTTTGATAGGAGTCATTTTTTGTGTTTAGTAAATATAATTGTAAGATTAATAAAAACAGTTTTCATTATGGGTCTCAAATTTACATCTTTCGGATTCAAGAACATTCCCTTAAAAATTTGGTGAGCTTAGGTTCATCTTGACGATCTAAAAAATTGATTGGTTTTCCTACTTCGTGCACATATGCTAATTGGTTGGTAATATCATTTCCGATAAGAGCACATCCAACCTTATAATTTCCAGAATTTTATTTAATTGATCATCATTATACTCTTGTCCATACTCTATTACCTTCTGATTGTGCACCGTCACCCATTCGTTTTCATGTCCAGCAAATTTGAAGTGAATCGTAGAAAAATGTGATGTTGAGCCCAATCTCATCGTCAAATTCGAACTCGAGGTCAGCGATGTTTTCAAAGGCATAGCTTCTTAAGTATTCTGGCATCGAAAGGGCCACTTAAAATTCTTGCCCATACGAGCTACAAATAGGTTAAGGGAGCAAATATTAAACATTGCTACCAGTACTACCACTATGTTATCAAGCATATAGAGAAACTATAAGCCGTACTAAGAAAACTTTGCGCTTGATTAGGGCTTTTTTCATACTTAAGGAGGGTTTGAAGCGTTTCAGGCGGATTTTGTTCATTATTTTAAATAAAATGTAAAGTCTAATGAGACGATGATTGATATTAGTATATATGGTTTTCGCAAAATGTATTTATTCTTTTCATTGGATTAAAGAATATACCCTGTAAACGGAATCCAAATAGGAGAGAACACAATTATGAAAAGTAAGCAGTGAATATGAACGGAAATATAAAAGGAAATAAAAGGACATTCATTTTGCAGTTTTATTTTTTTTTATAATTGATTAACTAATTATTACACAATTTTCATTTTAACTTCATAAATTAGGATGTGGTGATTCATATCATTTTTCATAGACTAAGTCACATTGCCCATTGCTGTGGGTATTGTATCATACTGTCTTTCGATTTCAAAGAATTGTTTAAATACTCCACCACAATAATTAGAGATGTAATTAATGGTATATTTCATATCATACACAGGACGATTATTAATAAGTATTTCTGATTTAACTTTTTTATTAATAATAGTAGGGATTTTTGTGAACCATAAAACGACTTGACATGTAAAAATCAACAATAAAGCAAAATCATGTGACTGAGATTTCTGAGACGGTCGTCCCGGAAAATCTTCCATGAAAAATATGAAATATATTGACGAAAAATATACTTGAATAAGTTATATATAATCGATTAATCAAATAAATATTCCAAGCTTGGATTGCTAATAATTCAGATCTATTCTTATAATTCTGATAAGCTGTCTGTATGATTCTTGCTAAACTATCTCTAGGTTTAGCTTTAGAGCAATGATCCCAATGTTTCTACATCAGCTCTTTATGTTCGAGATAATCAACATATCTTTGTCTAGTAAAATGAAATAATTTTTAGACTTTATATCATCAATTTTTATAACTAAAACAAATAATCATATAACTTTTATGAATTCTTGATCTATAATAATCGAAATTAACAAATTTACCTTGACCAAATAATGCAAATAAAGCAAATTGGTGATATACACTAAATTTTCTAGCATTCAACAAATTTTATAAAGAAACTCTAACTCACATTGCCCATTATATTAGTTATACTCTACTTTATAATAGACAGTTTGTCATATAATTTCTCATTTTCAAAGAGTTCATCATATTGCTTTCCATCAAAAGCTAAATAATTTTCAATATATAAAATGATATACTTGAGATCATAACCAGGACAAATATTAAAGAATTTGAATAATGTTCTATTTTTTATTGAGAACAATATTAATACTAAAAGTAGATATATTAACTAAATATAATAAATTAATAATTTTTTAGACTTATATAAGATGAAGTGGGATATTTTGATAAAGTTAAAATCATGATTAGGAAAACTTTTTATATATAATACAAATATTAGTATATTTATTATAGCTAAAAAACCAACTTAATTTTGTATAATTCTAGCTAAAATTACAATAACATGCAAGTAATAAAAGAAAAAAATAATCACTTTGTGTGTTATATTCAAATATTAATTTTAAAAGAGTGAAGAGTATTTTGATGAAGTAAAGAACATATATAATATCTTAATAACTAATAATCAGAATTATATAAACATATTATTATTTGATTTATTATGTCTAAGCAAATTAAATGGTGATATTTTCATGTGATTTTGATTGTTAAATATTGAAATATTAGCTTAAAAATTACTATATGTTAAATGTATATTGGATCTTTGCTATTTATATTAAATTTTGATATATAGTAATTTTTAAGAACTATATCTTGATATCTTACTATTAAAATTATATGAAAATATCACTATTTGATTTGTCTAGATATATTAAATCAAATGATAATATTTTTACGTGATTTTGATTGCAAAATATTAAGATATTACTCTTTAAATTGGTGAAAATCTGATATATAATAACTTTCAGTACAATATCTTGATAACTGATTATTAGAATTGTATGAAAATATTATTATTCGATTTATCTAAATATAATAAATTGAATGATTATATTTTTATGCAATTCAGTTTGTTAGTTATTGAGATATTATTATTTTGTTATAATATTCTTTTTATTAAACTATCCTTTTTTATTTTATATAACTAAAACAAGATTTATTTTTTATGTAATTGAATTTTTGAATTATTTCTTAATTCAAGTTCAAAATTATTTTTTATACAATAATATCAATATTTATTTTATAATTTCTTTATATATCAAAAATTATATTCTATAAAACAATATATTAAAAAGAAAATACTAAATTTTAATATGTTTATACATGCTATAGATAATATAGATTTTGAATTAATTTCAAAAAATTTAAGACAAATTTCTTTAAAATTATAAAAAGTTTTGAATATTATATTATTAATATAATTTTTTAAAAACAAATTTGTAACTCATATAGATTGATGTATATTTTTGATACTTTATATTAGCTTATACTAAGTAATAAATTTTGTATATATTAAAGAAAAGATAAATATAAAATATTTGATTTATAAATAAAATATATATTTGTTATAATAAAATTTATATTATAGTCAAATCTCTATATAATTATACTTATTTATAGTTATAGTCATCCTATTTTGCTTTTTTATTTATATATAAATATATTAAAAAAAATCTCTTTATAATTAATCTCTTTTATAATTATCAAATTTTATTTTTCTGAGAATGGTAACTATAAAAAGATTTGACTATATTTGTTTTTTAGAAAAAAATATATATATTATTAATATATATTATTTGATTTTTTCTAATTTTAAATAGTTATTGCAAAAAAATAGAATATTAATATTTATATAAAATTACTTGTATAAATATTATTTAGTTATATATAATTATTTATAATAATTAATAAAATATATTTATTTTTGTAATATATTTTTATAATATATTTCTGTGATTATTATATAAATAAAAATTTATATTAAATATATAAAATCTATTCTAAAATATATTACAAATATTAATATCTTACTAATTAAAATTTTTATATTGTTATAATATAAACTTTTATTAGCTATTTTGCAAGATAATTTTATATATTGTTACAATAGTAATATAAAAATCATTAATTTCAAAAATAATTGAAAAATACAAAATATTCAAAAATATTCATATAATAAGAATC